CTTGCCTTACAATCTACAAGCTCTCAATCTTCTGCAATGGTCCCTGTGTGAGAAAGCTGGAGCACTGTAACCAGATTCCACAATAGCAACAGAGGATGACAACAACTTAGAGATAATAACAAAAATTAAGATACAACAAGATTTTGATACAGGTAACAAAAATTATGATAATCCTCAAGCCAGAGGAGGTTCCTAATAACAAAAACTATAACAAGTCTCAAACCGGAGGAAGTTCCCAATCCACAAAGACTTTAGGGGCGGTAAGACACCTGTTTTAATGATACCAAAATAGGCAAATCTTGTCCATCAGGTAGGATGCATGCAAGACAGTGGTCCTGTGATAGGACTGTAGCAGGAAGGGGGTCCCTTCCAGAGTCCATATATAGTGCTACTGGAGGTGCATGCACTGGCCATAATGAGAAAACAAAAGCTCCCAGTAAGATGCTCCTACTTTCTGGCCATTCAAGATATACTACTGAGACCTTTGAGGGCCACTCTGTTGTTATTCCAGGCATACACAAGAGGTCAGCTTCCAGGCCTTGTCCCCAAGGTGCCAGGAGAGCCAGCCATCGTTGGTCCATGTGTTGAAAGGTCCAAGGCCACGTCCACTCAATAGAGTCTCCAGGGTTCAGTGCAGTTGGTGCAGGCAGCAAGATATTGTTTTGGTGGCCGAACCTCGGCTTCAGTGATTCTTCCTTGGTTTGTACTTGAAGTTGTATAGGGGAGGTGCGGGGCAGAGCAGAGGTGGGTGATAACATGAGTTGGGATACACTGAGATGATTTGCCCTGACTTACAGCAGGAAGCAAGGCCCTGATTGGAAGAAGTCTAGAGCCAGGGCAGCTCTGGGTTCGGATGCCTCCAGGCCTGCTAGTTCTCAGTTAGAGGCTGAGTTAAAGGGGCGGGAAGCAGGCGCATCCCCAAGGAAGGAAGGGGCAGGGGCAGGGGATCCAGCCCAAGGACACAGCTACTCGTCTCCACTGGCCTAGCAATGAAAACTTTGTAGCTGCTTTAAAGACCATTTTTTAGTTCTTACTCATGCTATCTTGGTCTGGGAGCTCAAGCATCCCGGTGAATGAAAGGCTTCCTCCGTCACCAACAACAAAACTGTCTCTCCATGGCGGCATAATCACTAAGGGAGGAGGGTGTCCCAGGGGATGGAAAGAGAATGGGACCTAGCATCTGTGAGCTCCACAGCAGAAAGAGGAGAGGCCAGAGGGTGTGGCCCAGCCAGCCAGCTACTAAGCTGGAGTCCAGGATGTTTCTGACCCTTGATGTCTCAGTCCTCTCCCTCACCCTCAGGCCCAGTCCACCACCAAATCCTACCAATACTGCCTCCTAAATGCAGCCTGAGTCCTGCTTCTTTCCATCTCCACTGCCACTGCCAGGTCCAGGCTGCCACCATCTCTCCTACATTACTACAATGTCCCCCTGCCCACTACACTCACCTCTCTGCCTCTGGTACAAACTCCTCAGCCCATCGTCCACTCGGAAGTTGCTTTCTCAAGTCCAAGTATACCCACATCCTTCTCTGGTGATATTACAAAAGGCTCCCCACTGCAGTTAGAATAAGCTTGAGTGCCTCACCAGGGCCCTTCAGCCTCATCTTCCCCACACCCTTCCTTGCACTCTTGCCATGCTGGGTTTTTATTCTTTTGACCAATGGACCAGTTAGCAACTTATCACCTCTCAAATCCAAATCCATCCTCACTGCCAGCTCTGAGAAAATGGAGAGGACCCTTTAAATATTTCTCCCCAGCTGGCTCAAAGATGAATTTTGTTGGTAGAAGGCACTGGAGGACTGAATTTTTTTCTGTTCCAGTGTGATCCTTCTGTCAGGCACTTGCAGAGCAGGGTCTCCAGTAGTGGGCTCCTCCACAGTCTCCCAGGGCCTGGCCCCTGAAGTGGGCCCTGCCCTGGCAGATACCCTGGAAACCTTTTAGTTGCTTTGTATCAGAGTGCTAATGGTGAGACCCTGCCATAGCATTCCCTCCCTGGTTTTATATTGAGAAACAAGGTCTGAATTATGATTCTGAGCTTCATATGATTTATACAGCTTATTGTGGAACTCAAAGTTTAATCCCTGAATTTGGCAGTTATTATTACATAGGTGCCCTGCAGTTATACAGGTGTTCAGGAATATGTTCCTGACTATGAAGCTGCTTTTTAATTTTGTTATGTTGAAGTAAATACAAAAAGTAACAATTAATGGCAGAGTTCCGGTCACAGTAATCATTAGGTAAAGGGAAACCAGTGATGAGTTCTACATAACTTTCTTTCAATAAATAAAGTAAGACTTAGATGGTAGGAGGAAGGAATTAGATACTCTACTTACAACCATGTGTGTGCATGTGTGTGCGTATGCATGTTCCTGCATGCATGTATGTGTGTATGTAATCCACTCCCTTTTCTTTAAAACTCTAAGATTAGAACAGGGGAAAAATCCTGTATGTGTCAATGACAGATTTTTTTTTTAATTTAGTTAATCAAAAGTTTCCCAGGTTCTCCATCTTGATTTATGCTTATGTGCCATACTTGCTTTGAAATCTTAAGATTATCAGAAATTTTACTAAAATTCTGGAAATAATCTACTTTAATCTTTCTAGATTTCTAAATCTCTGTTGAGTAGCAGTTTTCTAAATGCTGCAAATGTGTGCCACTTCAAAGGAGTTTGAATGAGAGAATTTTTTCCTTGTTACAATAGTTCGTTTCTGTAGAAACTTCATGTTTAGATTAATCTGCGATGGATGAGCAATCATAATTCAAGTACGCAGTTCTTTTCTTCTATCAACTATTCACTCTCATGCAGTAGTAGTAAAGGCATTAAAGATGCAGCAGGCATAAAAAGTAGTTTTTCCAAGAGAAATAGGAGACATTTTTATTATTGTACTTGGGTATACAAACACTTCGGTGATATAAATGTTTACATCCCCTATAACTCTGGTCGGAAATCACTTTTGACTTTGTTGGTTAAGTTAAATAGTCCACAGTAGGATAGAGTACTGAATACAAGACATCCAAAGGAAGACAACAGACTATAGTAAAATGCTGGGTCTTAACAAGAAACTGGTTTATTCACTAAATATTTTGTGCCTTGGTCTAATATCAGCACGATGACTGTGTAAAATGACAAAAAACGATTTTCCATCATTTCACATTACCCCAGATTGCTAAATGTGCTCTTTCCAAATTTGATTGAATTCCTATATACATTTACTGTCATATATGACAGTTTTGTCATTATGTTAGAGATTTCAGTAATTAAAATAGGGAACAGAAGCTTGGATGATTTTCCCTATCAGAACTACATTCTTGGTAACCACATTATTATGATGGGTTTTTGTGCTCTTATACACTGAATGTCTTAAGCTAAGTGCCATTTGGGGGGTCCCTTCTCTTTACAGGAAGGTACTTCTTTCCTCAACACTGTGATCTGACCATGACAAATCTGTGCTACACACCACGTAAACAGTTAAAAAGTCAATTGCAAACCAACTGAATATACAAATCTGATGCTGGTGCTGAAATCTCTTCAGAATAGTCATTATGATTCCAAAGTCTGTTTCAAAATTTGCAAGCATCAAGTGTCAATCAAACCTGAAGATGAAACACTATTGAATGTTGAATTCTCATACTCAGGATGTACTTGCTTTTTAGGTCTTCTGGTTCTCTGCTGTTTTTACTGTACTGTTTCATTTAAATTTCCTACACACTAACTTAATTTGTGTGATTGAAATAAAATTGTACTACATACAAAAAGATTAGTAGTCACTGAAAGATCAGTCAGTAATCAAGCCTTCACACCTTAACTCCCTGATCTCACCGTGCCGTCACTTCCGATTATTTGTCACAGCCTCTTCTGCAGGACTGAGAGCTCCAGGAGGGCAGGCATGTGCCCCTGAGGCTTCTTGCTGTAGGAGTGAGAGAGTGGTCTTGTTTGTTCAGGTCCTCTGAGGAACAGGTGCTCAGATGGGATTATGATGAAGAGATGCTTTGGGGAAATGCCTGTGAAGGACAAAGGGGCGAGGGACAGGCGGAGGTGGGGGAGAGCCATGCACCGTGATGCTGGGCTGTGCCTGTGAGGGAGTGGAAGATGGAGGAGGACTGGGGTAGGAAGGGTCTCACACTGCAGAGCCCTTCCAAGGAAAATCTGTCTAGGCCATTGGGGAGTCCTGGAGCCATGGTCACCTACAGGCCAGGAGTCCCACTATTCACTGGATGGGTCTGCCTTAGTACTGCCACCATGATTGGTCACTGGCTGAAAGATACCTGTGACATGAATGCCTCAGTTAAAGTCTGGTGGTGATTCAGGGAAATGGCAGCTGGGGCTGTCAGTTGGTGCTGCTCCCTGCAGCTGATCTGAGCAGCACATTTTCGTGACCGCAACAGTGACTGCCAGACAGAAGGTTGGCACATCCCAAGGATACAGGGCCAAAAGCAATGATGGTAGAACTGTCACCTTGATGCAGGGAGAGGCAGCAGGTCCATGGATCCCTCCGAGTAAGGCTTCATACATATACGTAAATATGTACAGGGGTAAGTCTTTATATATACTGAATGAAATAGTTATTTAAAATGCCACTGTAACAGAACTACTTTCAATTTTGTGAATTTCCTCCCAGGTCTTAGTGTGTTTACAGTATTGTAATCATCATGCAAGCAGTACTTCATATTTTCTAAAGATTTGGTATTTATAACTATTATTTCCATATGTCTACCATGGTTTTCAGAATTATACTTTTCAGTGACTGAATAATATTCAATAAATGGCTGTACCACAGTTTCTAAAGTCACTGCTATTCAACATCTCTATTAGGCCTTTTTCTTTATATAGCCAATGGTTTTATGTTTATCTTTGGGCATATACTACTTAAGTTTCTGTTGCGTTATAGCAGGTTTTGTGATTTTATCGTTTTGCCAGATTGCTTTCTAAAAACATACCAATTAAGAACGTGTATTAGTTATCTATTGCTGCATAAAAAATTACAGTAAAAACTCTGGCTTAATACAACCCACATTTATTGTCTCACTGTTCCTGTGGGTCAAGGATACACACACAGTTTAGCTGTCCTCTGATTCAGGGACTCTCACAGGTGTTGGCTGAGGCTTGGGGGTCATCTGAAAGCTCAACTGGGGAAGGATTCTCTTCGAAGCTCACATGGTTGTTGTCAGGATTGATTTCCTCATGGGCTCTTAGATTGAGGATCATAGTTCTTAGCTGGCTGTTTGTCAGGGGCTGCCCTTAGTTCTGTGATGTATGGGTCTCTCCAACATGGCAACTTGCTTCATCAAAACATGCATCCAAAAAGACAACAGAGTCTGCTGCAGGACAGAAGTCACCCTCTTTTATAACAGTCACAGAAGCACCAGCCTCTTAATGTTGCTGTATTCCATTGTTTTGAGCCAAGGGGAGTAGGGGGAGAGGATGACTCAAGGCTAAGAATACCAGGAGCTGGTATCATTGGGGCCACCTTGGAGGATGCCTACTACGAATGTCACCAAGGGCACATGCTTGTACCAATTTACCACAACCTCTCTAACACAATGTTGTAGTATTTGAAAATACCAGTATGGTAGGTATAAAAGACTATCTCCAGTTAATGCCCTCTTCTACAGCCTGGTGTCTCCCCCTGGGGCCACATGGATTCTTTACTCTCAATTGCTACCAAGTAATTTCCCAAAATGTATCAACTGATAGCAACCTAAAGAACTGTCCTAACTGGAACTTTGAAAAACTATAAACACAGACCTGTATTTAGGCAACAGTAAGTTCCCTGGGAAGATTCTAGTCTCAAGGAATTGCTGGCATTTGGGCAGTAACCCCAAGATCAGAACACCCTGGAACCTGTACCACTTGAAAGCACTAAAATTTAGGAAACCAATCTTCTTTTAGAGCTTACTGTATACCCTCACTGAGTTTCACATTTTGCAAATTGTACTTCACTTTCATTATCAAAACAATACTCTTAAGCTACATATTAACATCCTCATTTTACAGACAGGAAATTCAGGGTCATAGATATGAAATCACTCATTCAAGGTCACTCTGCTAAAGTGGCAGCACCAGGATATGAACCCACAGCTGGGCCCAGTCTGTGCTCTCACCCTGCCTCCTGAGGTGCCCTTGTCCTCAGCTGGGCCTCCAAGGGGTCTGTAATAACCTACTAATACTGCCAACATTCTGCTTAAGACCACCTGCTGCCTCAGGGGGCAAACTCACCCTCGAACCCCCACCCACAAGATGGCCAACTTCCTGCTTCTCTTCCGTGTTTTCCGCTCCCGGCGCCACCTAAGGCCCAATCACTTTCTGACCCACCCCTTCCTTGCTACCTGTATAAATTGAGCCTACAAACAATAACTGTGTCAGCTTGATCAGACATCCTGTCTTGCTGTCCATTCTTTGTGTCCCTTGCCCCTTCATTCTCTACTCCAGGTCGTCGACCCCCATTGATAGTCCTGCAGGTCAGGACACTAAATATGGCAGACTGGGGATGGCCCTTTCCTCTTCAGTTAGCTGAAAGGGTCTCCCTTGGAAATTTCAGAAGGCTGTGCTCAGTGACCTGATGAGAGGAGAGGCTGGAAAGCAACCTCTAACCAGCATGGGAAGAAAGGCTATAGAGGCCACAGTACCAGTTTGCACAATGAAACCCTCAGGATAAACAGGTATAAATGTAGGGTCTTGCCAATGGGATCTAGAACAAGACTGCAGACTTCAAATCCTAGTTCTGTCACTTACAAAGGTTTATGATTTGGGGCAAAGTTCTTCACCTTCCTGTGCTATTTCCTTGCCTGTGAAATATTACCAACCACCTATTCTAATTTGGGGCTAAGTGAAAGAAGTGCCTCTAAGAACCTAGCATGGTATCTGATGCACAATAAAGACCCCATAAACATTACTATAAGGATGTTGGTGGGCAGGAGGGAAGCAGGTGGCCTCACTGAAAGAGGACCCACATTTCTATTTGAGACCCAGCCTGTGATGTATGTACATGTGGGGACAGAGGGTCTGTGTGTGTGCCAGCTCCAGGCATGCTGCAAATTGTCCTGTATTGTGAACACTGGCTGGTGGGGGCAGAGGCAGTAGGGCCTTTAAGGATCAGGGATGGGCAGTACCAGTGACAGCATGACTCTGGAACCCCCCCTCCCCAGTATCCTGGCTTTGTCTGGTTGTGTGTGTGTGTGTGTGTGTAATCTGTGTGTTGATATAGCCTTCTGTCAATCAGTCTAATTCTGGGTCTGTGCATGAACATGTGGTGATGGGTGGGGAATGACTCAATGACTCAGAACACTGTCCTCCAGGGATCAAGGGCAGGTCCCTGATGATTGACGCATGCGGCAGGCATATGAGAAGGAAAGATGCAGGGCACCATTTACAGGGTAGCTTCCTGCCACTGGCTCATCTGCAAAGCCCTACAGCATCGTTTTCAATTGTTCTGGGATCAGTCCCCAAGTCTGTATGCAGGAGCACAATATAACCCAAAATTTGAGGGTCACTTTCCTTTTAAAGCCTTTGTGGGTCCCTAGAGCCATGAATAGTAATCTATGTCCTACAGGAAGTGGCCAGGAGTGTCCTGGTTTCCCCACTGAGATCAGCAATCATGGAAAACTAGTGCCAGGCCCTGTCCTTGGAAAAGTCCCAAGTTGGGAAGACAGGACAGGGTCACATAGGATTCATATGGTTTCACTCAGGGTATCCAGCCAGCCTTAATGTAATTGTTCAGAGACTCCAGGAAGCCGGGCCTATCTGTCATGGCTTAAGAGCCTTGTTCATTTATTTAAAAACATTATGGAGAGCTGCAGTCCAGAGCTATAAACAGACACACTACTTTGCCCTTGTAGACAGTACACTGCAGCAGAGCAGACGCTAGGCACTCACTCTAAGGTAACTTAATCACATAATTAGTTAGCAGTAAGGCCGCACAGGGCACACAATAGGGCATGAATGGGGCAGGTTCCTGGAGTCAGGTCCTGGTACTCCTGCAGGAGCAGCATTAAAGAACTGAGCACAGGGCAGGCCAGGAGAGAGCGCCAGGATCCAGGGTACTGTGTGGGGATGGAGGGGAAGGCAGTTAAGGAACCCAAATACCTGTGGAGCTAGGAGGCAGAGCGGCAGGGAGGGGACACAGGGCCCTTGGAGAGGCTCTCAGATCTAGGCTGAGGAGCAGCTGTAGCCAGAAAGCAAGGGATGCCTTTAAAGCACGTTAAGCAGAACAGAACCAGTCATACCTGCATTTCCAAGAGTTGGGAAAGGTGGGGGCCATGGCCAGAAGGCTCAAGTAGGAGTCGATGGGGGTGGGTAAGGATGGACCCAAGGGTTGCTTGAGCTGGAGGCAGGCTTGGGGGATGTACAGCGAGAAGGCAGGCGGCTCTTGGGGTGGAGGCTCTGGGAGCCCACGTTAGGAGTGGGGCCATGTAAAGCATGCATGGGGACTGAGAGCAGCCCAGGGGTGAAGACTAAGTCTGTGACTTGGAGTAGAAGGAACCAAGCAAGCAGCAGTTTCGGGGGATTGCTCCACCCACCACTGGGGCTCCTTTACCCTGCCATGTGGGCAGATCAGCCAAGATGCCCGATGCCACCAGCTTGGATCCTGCAGTATTGAGAGAAGTGGTGGGGAGTGGTGAGAAAGTGGAGCTCACCTAGTTGAGACCCCAAACTGCACTACTCTGTCCAAGATAGGATGGTCACACAGGTCAGCAGCAGCTGGGTGACATCCCACAGGGCCCCTTAAAGTGGAGTTTCCCAGACTGCAGACTCATTTGCCCACTCACTAAATTACCCACCCATCTCTGCATTCATCCCGTCTGTGCCTGATGCCATCACAGGGACCTGATATAGGGACTCAGGAGCTCAGTCCACCCCAGGCCTGACCATAGGACCCGCAGAAAGGAGCCAGAGCACTGGCTCTAGCCCACCATGAGGTATGCAGGACGGTGCCATTACTACCCGCTCACTCTCCATTCCAATCTCCTGCAGGAACTGTCTGCCACCACCCAGTACTGCAGCTTTGTGCCCTTCCCCAGGTGTGGCCTAATCCCTTTGGTCTTAGTTACAGGACACTGGGCCTGAATTCTTCAACTCTACCAGGGAAAACATAATTGTCAGTAGAGAGCACACAAAGGATGAGGCAAGCCTGACTTGCTAGTCATGATGCTCCTCACCCTCTGCTGGCATCTCCTATCCAAGGACCAAGAGGGATCTGCTCTGTCCACAGCTACAGGGTTTGTGGGAAACAAGCAGGAAAAGGTGTAGCCTGCCCTGGGTCCTGAGTGTGACACAGGCCCAGTCCATCACCCACCTGCACTCTCTGCTTCCTAACTGCCCAAGAGCCAAGCCTGCCCCCACCTCCAGGCCACCTCCCTTGCTCTTCTCTGCAAGAACAGACCATGTTCTGGATTGCATCAGTGGGCTCCATTACTGCAGGGACCCTGTTTGCAATGGCTGCCTCCTTCTGCTTCCTTTGGCCAGAGCTGCTGCCAGGTGTAAGTCTCATCAGGTTCCAGCAATACCTCTCCTCTTCAGGAGCCTCACGTGCCTTGCTGGCCACCTGGCTGTCTGCATGTGCCATATGCACTGGATATAACACCCGTAAAACCCCGCCTGAAGCTCACCTCTCCCAGCCTCTCAGGCCTACACAGGCTTCTCATCTAGGCCTGGCCAGGCTTTTACTCTCTATCAGGATAGAAGGGAATTAGGATTTGACCACCAACTAATTTACAGGGTGGCTCTTTGCTGTAGGACTGTTTCCATTCTGCAGGCACCTCTGATGTTAAGATGTGGCCTGACTCTCATCACCTGCTGGTACTCAAAGACCAAGGAGAGCTGCCCCATTTATTTACAGCATGCTGGCTCTGCCTGGCTCCTATGTCTGTATTTCACCCAGTGCACAATGCTGGCAGGTAGTTCACTTCATCTCCACTTTACAGCCAAGGAAACCAAGGCTCAGATTCAAAAACTGCTCAAGGTCACTGAGGTCACATGAGGTGGGCTGGGGTAGAATCTAGGCTGTTTAACTCCAAAGCCTGTGGTTTTTCTGACAGTGGGCTGTGGATGCAGAAGCAGCAAATGAGCACCCCCGTCAGAGTCAATGGAAGGGTGGCTCCAGCAGGAGCTGGAGCTGCCCTTGAGATGAGCCCCTCAGGAGTGGCCTGGGCTGAGCGTTGCCCTCCACATCTGCAGCACAGAGTCCCGGCGTGTCGTGTATGGTAAATGTTTGATGCGGAACGAGTGTCTGGGAACGATGTTCCCACTGGGTGTATACAGCTCCTCTCCACGCCTGCCCAAGAGACTGCGCAGGGCCAGGTTGCCTGACAGAACTTTCTCATAGAACTCCACACCCCCCTGGGCATAGGCTGCAGACAGAGAAGCTGTGCGGCGGTCCAACCAGGCTTCAATGGCATGAGTGAGAGAGTCCATGGAGAAAGCATAGGCCACAAAGCCCGCCACTGCTGCCACCAAGTTGAAGGCAGCCCTTAAGTTCATGGGGCCTCCATAAAGCCCCAGTGCATGCTTGGCACCTACGCCCAGCGCCCAGGTTCCTGCCAGGCAAGCTGGGGCTGGCAGGGCCTGCAGGGCAGCTGCACTGCTCTCCAGGTACACCACCTCCCTGGCCAAGGCGAACTTCTGGGCATCACGGGACAGGGTCAGGGCATCTCTCAGCCGGGTGCCTGCGGGACTCTGCCAGTCTACTCTTTGCCCATGTACAATCACTGGCTGATCAGGGCTGGTCAGTGGGCCAACCAGAAAGCTGGCAGGGATGCCCACCACAGACCCCGCAGGGAGTCGCGGGAAGCCAGCGCTCACAGGCTGGAAGGTGAAGGTAGCGAAGGCTTCATACCAATGGCCTGAGGGGACGCCTATGTCCTGTAGCACCTCTTGGAAGAGCCTTTGCAACTCTGCGGAGAGTAGGGCTGGCTGGCCCTTAGGCCAGTACTGGTACAGCCACTGGACGACAGGATCTGGGAAGAGGTGGTATGAGATTTGGGCTCCAAACAGGGCTGCACAGGAACCCACCAACAGGCCTGTCCTGTGTCTCTGCACAAATGCTGTGGCCTGCCACAGGCGACCTGCCATGAGTGCTGCCACCACTGGAAACCTGGGCCAAGAAAAAGAGAAGTCAGTTTCCAGCTCCCAGGGCCTGCCTGCAAGACCAAACAACCCCCAGAGCCACAACTTTTGTAACTGAGGCAGTACAGCACAGTGATTAAAAGCATCAGCTTTAGAGCCTGAGTTCAGATCCCAGCTCCATCTCTGTGACAATGGCCTGCCATTAGAGTGGCTGTGATGAGCAAATGAATGAACACACATAAAACAACTGGTGTCTGGCACAGTAGTAGACACTGTGATAATGGCTGTGATTTATTACCTTTATTCCCATGCCTGATTATAGCACTAAATCCCCAACTGCCTTTTCATCCCCTAGTGAAGCCCAATGATCACTAATTTATAGAGGAAACATATGTTCAACTTTTTGCTAGACACAGGTCTGAGAGCTTTACAAACACTATTTAACAACTGAATTCTCAGAACTCCATGACCTACTGTGGCCCCTGTTTTAAAGCACATAAACACTAAAGAAATTGGTCAAAAACCCAAGGTAGTAAAGCAGCAGTGTTATGGGTCCCCAGATTCATATGTGGAAATTCTAACACCTAGTACTTCAGGAAGTACTGTATTTAGAGAGAGGCTGTTTAAAGAGGCAATTAAATTAAAAGGTCATTAAGGTAGGCCCTGATCCATTATGACCAGTGTCCTTATGAGAACAGGAGATAAGGTCACAGAAACATACAGAGTAAAGAAAGGGACATGAGCCACAAGGTGACGACCTACAAGCCAATGAGACGACTCAGAAGAGACCACCCCTGCTAACACCTTGATCTTGGCTTTTTAGCATCCAGAATTCTCAGAAAAAATTTCTGCCACCTACTACTTGTCACGGCAGCCCTGGTAGACTAATACAGGCAAAGTATTTGAACACAATGTTAGCATTAAATGCTAAATGTTAGCATTAAATGCTAAAAGCTAAATGCTAATGTACAAACATATACCAAAGTAGACAAAATAGTACATCAACCACCTTCAGTTATCAACTCACGGTCAATCTTTTTTCATCTCTACTCCCTCTCGCATTCCCCCAGCAATGGTTTATTTTGAAACACATTCTGGACAGCCTATTATTTCATTCATAAAAACACTTCAGTAAAAATTCACAATTATTAACATCATACTTAACAACGAGAAGCTGAAAGCATTTCATTTAAGATCAGGAACAAGACAAGGATGCCCACTCTCTCCACTTTTATTCAACATAGTTCTGGAGGTCCCCACCACAGCAATTAGACAACACAAAGAAATAAAAGGCATTCAGATTGGTAAGGAAGAAGTTAAACTGTCACTGTTTGCACATGACATGATATTGTACATAAAAAACCCTAAAGAATCCACTCTAAAACTATGAGATCTAATATCTGAATTCAGCAAAGTTGCAGGATACAAAATTAATACAAAGAAATCTGTTGCATTCCTATACACTAATGATGAACTAGCAGAAAGATAAATCAGGAAAGCAATTCCATTCACAACTGCATCAAAAAGAATAAAATACCTAGGAATAAACCTAACCAAGGAAGTGAAAGACCTATACACTGAAAACTACAAGATACTCATGAGAGAAATTAAAGAAGATACCAATAAATGGAAACACATCCCATGCTCATGGATAGGAAGAATTAATATTGTTAAAATGTCCTCCTGCCTAAAGCAATCTACAGATTCAATGCAATTCCTATCAAAATACCAACAGCATTCTTCAATGAACTAGAGCAAATCGTTCTAAAATTCATATGGAACCACAAAAGACTTACAATAGCCAAAGCAATCCTGAGAAGGAAGAATAAAGCTGGGGGGATATTATGCTCCCCAACTTCAAGCTCTACTACAAAGCCACAGTAATCAAGATAATTTGGTACTGGCACAAGAACAGAACAATAGACCAATGGAACAGAGAGCCCAGACATAAACCCAACCATACGTGGCCAATTAATATATGATAAAGGAGCTATGGACATACAATGGGGAAATGACAGCCTCTTCAACAACTGGTGTTGGCAAAAGTGGACAGCTACATGCAAGAGAATGAAACTGGATTATTGTTTAACCCCATACACAAAAGTAAACTCAAAATGGATCAAAGACCTGAATGTAAGTCATGAAACTATAAAACTCTTAGAAGACAACATAGGCAAAAATCTCCTGAACATAAACATGAGCAACTTCTTCCTGAATGCATCTCCTTGGGCAAGGGAAACAAAAGCAAAAATGAACACATGGGACTACATCAACCTAAAACGCTTCTATACGGCAAAGGACACCACCAACAGAACAAAAAGTCACCCTACAGTATGGGAGAATATATTTGTAAATGACATATCCGAGAAGGGGTTAACATCCAAAATATATAAAGAACTTAGATGCCTCAACACCCCAAAAGCAAATAATCCGATTAAAAAATGGGCACAGGGTATGAAGAGACAATTCTCCAAAAAAGATATTCAGATGGCCAACAGACACATGAAAAGATGCTCCACATTACTAATCATCAGGGAAATGCAAATTAAAACCACAATGAGATATCACCTCATACCAGTAAGGATGGCCAGTATCAAAAAGACTAAGAACAATAAACGAGGATGTGCAGAAAGGGGAACCCCCTTACACTGCTGGTGGGAATGTAAGCTAGTTCAATCATTGTGGAAAGTAATATGGAGGTTCCTCAAAAAAACTAAAAATAGAAATACTATTTGACCTGGGAATCCCACTCCTTGCAATTTACCCAAAGAATACAACTTCTCAGATTCAAAAAGACATGTGCACCCTTATGTTTATTGCAGCACTTTTTACAATAGTCAAGATACGGAAGCAACCTAAGTGTCCATCAGTAGATGAATGGATAAAGATGTGGTACATGTATACAATGGAATACTATTTAGCCATAAGAAAGAAACAAATCCTACCATTTGCAACACCATGGATGGAGCTGGAGAACATTATGCTCAGTGAAATAAGCCAGGCAGAGAAAGACACATACCAAATTATTTCCCTCACTTGTGGAGTATAGCAACGAAGCTAAACTGAAAGAGCAAAACTGCAGCAGACTCACAGACTCCAAGGGACTAGTGGTTACCAAAGGGGAGAGGTGGGGGAGGGCGGGTGTGGGAGAGGGGCAGAAGGGGATTGAGGGTATTATGTTTAGTACACATGGTGTGGGAGGGGGTCACAGGGAAGACAGGGTAGCACAGAGAAGGCATATAGTGAATCTGTGGCATCTCACTACACTGATGGACAGTGACTGCAATGGCATAAGGGTGGGGACTTGATAATATGAGTAAATGTAGTAACCACATTGTTTTTTCACGTGAAACCTTCATAAGAGTGTATATCAGTAATACCTTAAAAATTCACTTTCGTTGAACCTTAGTTTTCCTGTCTGTAAAAAATGTTTAAATTGGCAAATAAGTTGGGGCAGACAAAGCCAAGGTATCGATTGGCCTGTTTTAATAAAAAAACTCCTAAACCTCACATCACTTGGGCCTTTTTTCCCAAAGAGGAAACTAAAGCCAAGTACGGGAGGGCCCTGGCCGACGTCCCAACGACCCCAGGGCCACCAGCGCCCAGGCCGCGCTCCTGGCTCCGCCTCGGACTCGGTGCCGCGCATTCCCCATGCGGCAGGTCGAGGGGAGGTAGGCCCTCACAGAGGCTCTCCACTCGGCTCCCATCCCTGCCTCCCCAAGCTACACCCGCGCTCGAATTCTCTGCGGGCAGGGCGCCTGGAGAGGGAGGCCCGGCGCCCGGATCCACGCAACCGCCCGCCGCACTCCAAGCGCTCACCTCCGCTGCGGCCCGAGCAGCCACTACACCTCCGACGACCGGGCCTACCCGGCGCAAAGCACGCCGGCCGGGCTCTGGGGGCGGGGCCAGGAGCGGGTACGATAGGGGGCGGGACTTTGGGAGCGGGGACTGGGGCGGGCGCCCGGGGCGGGGCAGAGGCGCGGGGAGGAGCGCCTACCCGCAGCCTTGCGGCGATGGCCGGAGACATTGTAGCTCTCTTCCTCCTCCGCACTTGAAAGGCGGCCTTGACCACCCTGTTTAACCCCAGAGGCAAGGACGGCCCCGCGTGGGTCAGGAGGTGGCCTGTGGCAGATCCCCATGCCCGCCTGACAGGGCCGTGGCCTTTCCAGTCTGGAAGTGCTCAATGCTGGTGAGGTGCTCTGGGCTTTATTTTTTAATACCACGTCCGCTGTCCCGCAGTTCCTCTCAAGCGATCCACACTATACAGTCCACAGAGCAGCGTTCACATCTGTCACCTCACCTTCCCCAAATTCTATGCATATGTCAGGGATCCACTTGTCTGTGTGCCCAGCACAGCTCGCCGCCTGTTTTTGTAAGTAAAGTTTTATTGGAACACAGTCACCTCCATTCCTTTCCTTGTGGTCTATGGTTGCTTTCCCCCAGAAGGGCAGAGTAGAGTAGTGAAGACAGAGAAGTACATTAGTCCCATTTTGTAGATGAAGAAACAGGTATTTAGCTTGACCAGGGTACCCAGCTCCTCTGCACCTAGCATGCACCTGAACAGGATGGGACTCCTGTCCGGGTACATTCCCATTAGGGCTCCTACCCCCATGCAGAATTGACCTAGTGGGTCTTGCGGATGTGGGTTTGGCCTCCGTGTCTGGCTTTTTCTTCCATATGAGCCCAAGAGGAAGGGAGAAGGAAGGGTGAGGCTGCAAGAACAGGTGAGGGTGTGAGGAGACCCAGAAGCCTGTGGGCCTTGGAGTAGAGCTTTGGAAGATTAGCAGCCTGTGGACCACTGTGTCTCCTGACAAACTAGCTCAACCCCCTCGACAGGGCTCCTGACCACAAAAGGACCAGCTGTCATGGTCAGTCAGGACCACACCTGACTCCCAGCTGATCCTCTGTGTGTAGGATTCTATGGGGATACCTTGAGGTTGGCATTCCCTGTCTCACGTGTGACCCAGTAGCCCCTGTGGAGTGATGGCTGATGAGGCAGAACCCTGCTGACACTAGGGGACCCAGTGTGGCTGCCCCCAGACCTGGGCCAGTACCTCAGCCCAGAGTCAGTATGTAGGGAGACTACAGCCCAGGTCAAGAGACCTACATTAGGGGCAGGAGGCCCTTGGGTAAAGGATGTAAAGGTGGACTTGTTTCCTCATTTCTAAAGTGATATAAAATCTGTCTCAAAGGGCCTTGTCATACTCTAATCCTAGACACACTTTTACATAACTGGAAGGAGGATGACCCTTGAAGCCACTTGCCCCTGAACAGGACTTGGGGGTCTCCCTTCAATCTTGGCCTTTATAGGCACTCTGTCACAAAGGACTTTCACACCCAAATTAAATCTGGCAGTGGTGACACACAGATGCTGGCTCCACCCCTTACTAGCTGTGTGACTTTGGGCAAGTTAACTTCTCTGGGCCTAGTTTTCTCATCAGTGAAAAGGGATGAGAGTGCTGTCTATCTCCTAAGGTTACCGTGGCATTCTGTGAGTTCATGCATGTGTAACACCCAGCCCGGTTTCTTCCATATAGCTAGTAGCTCTTATTATTAAGATCTCTTCTGGTTCTCAGACTTCAGCTTTGGCTGCTTAGTTGTTTGTATGTATATGGTGCTATAATGTGTTTTAATATGGGACCTCATCCAGATCCAGTATGTGGGATATTCTACAGGGCAAATGATATGGTGTCTAACAAATCAATGGCCTGAAAACATGGAGGGAAAGGGGACCATTATAAAATAAGAGGCTTCAAAGATAAAGCAATTAAATGCAATATATGGTTTTTGTTGGGATCTTGAATCAACAGGTAATTTATGAAATTAAAAAACAAAACAAAACACTTTTGAGGTAACTGGGGAAATCTGAATATGGATTGCATATAGTAATTAGGTGATATTAATGACTTATTTATTTTGTTAGATGGGATGAAGCATGATGTATATGTAAACCAAAATGTCCTCATCAGGCAGAGATGCATACTTAAGTATTTACAGACAACATGATGTCTGCTATTTAGTTCAAAATATTATAGCCAAAAACAAAACACCAACAAAAGCAGGGGTATAGATTAAACAACACTGACAAAATGTTAGTAGTTGTTGAAGCTTCATGACAAGTTCATGGGATTTGTTATACTGTATTTTGTATTATATATGTTTGGAAATTTCCATAATACATTTTTTTAATGTGTCTTTAAAATTAGGCTGACCAATTAGATTTCATTATATTAAAAACTTTTGGGCATCAACAAACATTATCAAAAAAGTGAAAAGACAATCCTCAGAGTGGGAGAAAATACTTGCAAATCATAGACATAAGGGCCTAGTATCCAGAATATATAAAAAACCCCTAACAACTCAACAGCAAAATGTCAAAGAACCAAATGAAAAAATGGGCAAACAACTTGAATAGACACTTCTCCAGAGGAGAAATACAAACGGCCAAAAAGCACATGAAAAGATGCTCTGTATCGTTAGTCATTAGGGAAATGCAAATCAAATCCACAGTGAGCTACTACTTCATACCCACTAGGACGGCCATAAAAACAAAACCAAACAAAACAACCAAGAGAAAAGAAAAAGTGCAAGGATGTGGAGAAAATGCAACTCTCATACGTTACTGGTGGGAATGTAAAATGTTGCAGCCACTACAGAAAACAGTTTGGCAGTTCCTCACAAAACTGGACAGAATTACCATATCTGGCAATTCTACTCCTAGGAATACAGATAACTCTTTCAGCTATGAAGTATGGGGTCTAAGAAGGGTTTTGCTTTGCTCAGCATGTTTTATATGCTCATTACCTTACTGATTGAGATTACCTCATTGCGAGAGACAAACTGATGATGCTAGAGAGAGGTGCTCATGCAGGAATTCCCTGGGTAGGTAAGTGGGATGGGGTCCAGAGTATGAGCGGTCGAGGAGGGGTGAGATAGGGAAAATTCTTCACTGTAACAAGAGGGAAGCTGCTAGAAAATCAAGGCTATAACCTGAAATGTACATGTTGTATGTCAATTATATCTCAATAAAGTTGGGAAAAAAAGAGGGAAGCAAGGTCAATGGGCCAGTCCAGTGATTTCTTGATGGCAAGATGAGGTTGTTCTTAGCTGATTGCTTCATTTTTTTCTGAGTGACATATGGAATGAAGTCATCAGATGAGCATATAGTGGGGAGGGGTGGTAAAGTCTCTTGAAGAAGCAAAAAAGCTGTGAAATTACCTCTTGAAGGAGAAAGAATCCACCAGAAAAATGGAATGATTGTTGGATAGCACTGAGTGCTCATTTGAGGTCTGGGTCAAAAATACAGTGAGTTGTGTGAATTTGTCCAGCAATGTTTGGTGCTCAGTTGCAGGTACATGGATAGCTGAAGGGTTTAACCAGAACCAGTCAAGCACAGATGAGGGAGAAATTGGTAAGGGAAGTGAGGACATTTGCAAACAAGTGACTTTATAGTGATGGATGGACTGTGAACTCTTGAGCTAGTGGGAGGACAGTGAGGGCCTATGGGGGTGATCTACGTGCCTAACACTTAAATGGTACATACCGTGTGCCAGCACTGTTTTTAAGCACTTCACAGAAGGAAGAAGTGGCAAGGTTGGAACACAAGGATTGTTGGAACGTGGTCACAATAGTAAGCCACACAGAAGTATAAGGAGGTGGTGATGCTAGCCTGGGAGGCTGGAAATGGACTTCAGAGGTGGTGTCAATGTTGGTGAGGGCAAGAGCAAAGGCGGAGGTGGGGTGGAAGACATTTTTAAGAATTGAAGAGGTATATTAGTCACGTTTTTGTATTTTCCATATTTTATGATATTTTGACAATTAAGGGGCCTTGCTAATCCTAGAAAGACTGCCTCTCCCAGGAGCAGCTGAATTTTTCTTTTCTTGTGTCTTTGGCTTTGGTATCAGTGTAATGCTGGCCCATAGAATGAGTTAGGAAGGGTTGGTATTAGTGCATCTGTTTGCATCTATAGTGCATTAAACATTTGGTAGCAGTTAACAAAGCCCTCAACCCCAGGGCTTCTCTTTGTTGGGTGATTTTTGATTATTGATTCAATCTCTTTTCTTGTTATAGGTCTATTCAGATTTTCTATTTCTTTAAAAAAAAATTTTCTGAGGGGCTTTTGGGCATAAAAGGAATACTTAAGAGTTATTTATGTTTTAATTACTGTTCAGCTGATTAAAGTACCAAGTTTAAATAGCCCATGTCTCCTAATCCTAAGCCTTCAAATTACAAAATTGTTATCTTAGTAATAAATTCAGTAACTTTTTAAATAAAATAAGAATTTTTTCTACTTGTTTTTTAACTTTCAATTAACTATGGGCCTTATAGATTAAATCTTCCTTAATTATTCCACACCACTTCTGTGCTTAATAAAATACCCTTAGACATTTCAAACCATACTTTCAAATTTAATTTAGCTGATTCTCTTAAATATACCTTTCCAAATAGCCTTTCAAATCTACTAAGCAAAGTCTTCCTAAATCTTAAAGCAATTTTGTAAACCTAATGAAAGTTACAGAAATGCAACAGATTCTCTTGTTCAAACATCTGAAATCAAAGTACGTATGAAACAATATAGTGAAACTTACTATTATAGATAATCCTACAGATAATCCAACAAGCCCAAAAGTATCATCTGGGTCTTTTATTCATCCTGACATTACAAATGCATGCTCCCAACTAGGGGCACAGAACCATTCTTTCAGGCCAGCTCACTAAGAGGTGCTGTGGGTTGAACTCTTGGTGGGATATTCTTGCCCAGGACAGGAGTCCAGAACAATTTCCAAAATGATTAATCATGACTTGATGTTTATTAGGTTGTGACTCTGTGGGGATAACTGGACTTTCTAAAACTATGTCTTCTTTTTTAATAGTAAAATCTTACACAATTTTTCTCTGCCT